TAATATTCACCTTTGTACTTTTATGTTGTATATGACCCTATTTTGTCGATATATTATTGGACCTAAGTGTGACGTAGTCTTATTAAATTCATCGTGCACGTACACTGCTTTAGCTCCGCGTCGATTTGTAAATAGGCCTATTTCATAAAAATATTATTACTTACTTCCTAATTTATTATATCCTGTATTTATACGCAATCGATAAATTAATATATTTTATTAATATATAATATAATATAATCGATTTCCTCGCTCAATTATGTAGAAGGTACACAATTGAGCAAGGAAAAAGTAAAAGTGCGTATAATGAAAATATTTTGCACTATAGTATTTCGTTTTCTTCATAACTATAGACCGATTTAATTTCGTGATTCCAAATTAGAGAGCAAATTGATCTTTGAACTTCGATTTTCTCTTTTTATAAGATGCCTACAACGTTTCACGATGTTATTTGGAGAGTAAATAGAAAATCTCGCAGCTTTTTTTAAAAGACATCAAAAGACCTTAGCGTGTTCATGGCATTGTAATGTGCCATGGCAATACCATTACAATAGTATTGATAAATAAAAATTAAATCAAATGTCATTCGAACTATACACATATGTATTTATCTTAATAAAGAATAACATGTCTGAGGAGATAAGATTCATTAGGTTTTTCATATCAGAATGACGATAGAATGGTGTTCTCGTAGATCACCATTCCCAAAGTTTGTTAAAAATATATATATCAATAAATATTATTTGCTTTAGCACCTATTTGGCTAATTTTATGTTTTGTTTAAGCGTAGCAATACAAAAAACTGTAAGGAAAAGTGAAAAGTTGAAGTTATAAAATCTTCACCAAAAAATAAAAATTTCTGTATCTTGTAAAGGCAAGATTTGACGTCACTGTTTTTATTAGTACATCCGTAAGAAAGCGCAGTGGATATCTAGATTGTAATTATGATAATAGGAAAAGTAATAAGAGTCTTGTGAAAATGTATTGTAAATTAATAATTTAATATGGCATAGTCACTATTAATATGCACTGTGTTTAAAATAGTGATAACAGTTCTAGATACCTACTCGGAAATTAAATCGTGACCAAATAAGTAGATATGTAATCTATACCTCGTATAAATCTAACATGTTGTTATTTTTATTGTGTATAATTATGTTTCAGGTTACAAAGATAAAATCTTGTAATCATGTTTTAGATGATCAACTATCATAACAAATATTTATCTATTATATACTATATACGTGTCTTGTCTACGGAGGTTAGGTGTTTAATTCATATTAATTTGTCCGTGGAGAATTTTATGAAGTTAATAAAGCTATGAAACTGGAACATCAATAATCGGGCAGGTAAATATATCCGCTTCTTAGCAGAAATAACCGTCGGCTATGTCCTACGATTTAAGTAAACTCAATCATTGCTTATCAGGTATGAAAGAATCAATAACCATCTTACCAAAATAAGGAGGAACTCACGTAACATAAACACGAAAAAAAGGACATAACATCGCTAAATTGTACCAAAAATGGAGTCGTCCCAAAAAAAATTGTCCAAGTAATTTCATTCCAAAGTTACAAATAATAGAACTGAATAGTGGATAACTGTAGAATTTACCATGACATTCATATGATTTTATCGATATTGAACTTGAGGTTATTTAATCACGCAGTTCAATGTTACGGGTCACTAAATCTTGTATGAAATTTAAACTATAGTATAACTGTATCTATAAATGAAGCAAAAAAAAATTGCAGCAGCATTTAAAGTACAGTTTTTATAGCAAGGTAGTAAAAAAAAGTGTACCGTTCGACATCGCTTACGTTGTTCTTGTAGGGCCTTCTAAAAAATTTGAAACAGTGCTATAGAAAATCTTGGTTTACCGACAAGGAGTTCTTATAAGTAGGTTTATTGTTTTTGTATTCAGTAATTTAAACTCGAGAAACGCGATCAACCTAAATATTATGGAAATGCTTTCAAATCAACCAACCATAGTTCCGCGATTGATCTGTACCTATCTAATATAGATGGTATAACTGTTATTATGGCTACAAACTTTGTGATAATTGCTCCTAAGGTCACATAATTGCACTCTTCTTTAAATATAGTATGTAAAAGAAAATAACAAGGAAGTTTCTTTTTTCTATTTAATATTTCTACGCTCTTGTATGTATCGCGAAACACCATTCTAGTTTCAAAAACGCTTAGAGTCTCTAATATTACCTTACTCAAATATATATAATATTTGAATCTATCTAGTCTAGACCTTAAAGTCCGTGTAGAAAAAATAATTGAAAAGGCCACTGTAATGTGCAGACATGGCCACTAAAATGTGCACTGAAAAAAAATAATAGCAACTACATAGTTGACGTTTTATTTATTCTTATTGTTTCTATTTTTGAGAAATTACTCTAAGTAACTGTTGCCTCCAATATTTGAAATTGTTAAGTAAAATATTTAATAAATGCATAACTTTTTAGTTTTGATTTTTTTTCTAACAAATGGTTAATAACATAATGAATAAATTTTTAAATTGACGCCAACCAAATATTAACGTAATGGATTATTAACTGAAATGGATACGATACAAAAACATTACTATTTATTAAACTACATGTTGCTATCGGTGATATTACCGGTATTACCGGTTAATAATAGCATACCCATATCAAATTGTAATAAACAATAATTTGACGTTTAGAAGAAATAAAAGGGAAAAAACTTTTCTTGTGAAGATGTTGTATTGTCACCCTAAACATAATTTGTTTTGTTATTATGAACCAGTATCTATGTATCATATATGTATATAGACAACTTCGGTGGTCTAGCGGATTTTAAAGCAGACCGCCTTACTCCCGATAGATCGAATGTTCGATTCATCCACGGTACAAACATGTACAACAACATTCATGAATTGTTTGTATCGATCTGGATATGTTCTTATGTATATATACTCTGCTTCGCTTGGGACTAGATGGCGCTGTGTGAATTGTTCTGAGATATTATTATTATGTATCTACTCCATTCGACTAACTAAACAATTTAAGAATGTCCTAACTATTTGTCCCGGTATCTCAACAAGACTGTCGATTTTATGATTAACTGTGAGAAATTTAATCCTGATTTTTAGTTAATTAACAATATAAAATAAAAATAACTATTTTGTAACATATGATACTATAGACGAATAGAACAGGTTTTGAAACCTCAATATTATAATAAGTATGTGGTTATTAGCTATTATTACGGCGCGGAACAAACCATTCTTTACATTCTATGAGTTGATTGATAACCAGACTATTGCGGACAGAAAAACAAAATAATAATTCATGTCTGGTTTTATTCATTTTACAGTGAATAGACAACATTTTTTAAATATTTGAAACTTTCAGAAAATGTTAGTACTCGCTATTTTTTTTTTGTTATGTATAATACAAACACACACACACACACTGATATATTTTAATCCCAATATGGGATCTAAATTAGAATAAACTACATCAATTACAAAAAATAAATCGTAATTTGTTCAGTTTGGAATTTTTAAAGATGTCACATACAAATAACTAACGTATTTAGAACCTGTTTGTCTTTAAATTCAGTTGGAAACTCGACTTCAATTAGAAATGAATTAATCTGTCATTATTGCCCAAGAAATAATATAATTCTTTAAGTGTACACTGTGACTGTATAACATAAAATACAGTAGAATAATTGAACTTAGTTTTAAGCAACAATACACTGATACTATTAAAATTCACTACTAAGGTTTGTTGGCATGCGACAGGTTGGGATGAGGTGAGGTCGAAAATAAACTTATTTAGCATCTTTTTATAGATTCCATGTTAAAATTTATTTTTAGGCGGATAAAAAATAAAAATCTTAATGTGTTTCGATTACCGATATCATTATAATAAAACGAAGAAGTTCATATATATGAGGTTATGTGACTGTTTTTGTGATATTTTGCGATGATATAGGTATCTAAGCATAACGGGTTCCGTTTGTTAGAAAATACATGTAGATTTTGAATAAAATTTTGATTTTGTTAAAATAGATACTGGATGTCTAAATTCTAAAAAACGTAGTACTTGCTATTCGTTCTCTTTTTTATATCTTTAACGATAGTTAATGGCTAAATACTATAAAAGGCAAGGGCGAAGTATAAAATAAAGGAGTTTTATATTTAAAGCTCGGAAACGATTTATTATGTTTCATAATATTAAATTAATATACTTAAATTTTTTATGATTCTTAATTAAAAATTGTTCAAAAAACTACTTGCTCATTTTATACTAAATTTATATAAATACAAACACTTGTACAAATGTATTAATTACATCACATTACACTCAGATTTATTATGCGATTATTTGTATTTATTATTATTATTTGAATTATTATTACTATTTATAAACTAGAATGTATAATGATTATACATTCCAGTTTGTAAATAGTAATAAAGTCTAAACATTCATTATAAGTCCCGAGAAATAAACACAGTAAATACAACAGAAAATTTAACTCGATTTATGCTTCTATATTCACACGTATAGAAAAATAATGTGGGTAAGTATGATTACATGTATATATGATTACAATATTGTATAATAAGATTAAATTACCACAAACTTAGAAATACATAGATAATTGTTTCTTGTTTATATTTGCAACAAAATTCGTTACTGTATACAAGTGTTTACCACTTGATTCCGATATTTAAAAATATGCAAATTCGGATGTATGGCACTTATACTCGTATTATTTAGTTGTGTCTGCTACTTATGCAGTGTATACATATATAAACAAATGTTTCATAATATTTACACACATTACATACAAAATATTTATTTAAATTAAGTATGTTTATATATTATTGAATCTATTCCCATAAATTTATAAAACAAATTAAAAATCAATTACGTCGTATATAATTGTACAACGTACAACGTACATACTTCTATATTATTTAAATATAATATAAACTTAGTAAGTCAACATACCTTAAAACTATTGATGTGATTTCACTTTATTTGTTTTCGATGACGAGTTGTTTAATAATTATTTTTCAAATATGCGCGTGTCTGTAGCAAGAGACAAGTGAGTACTGTTGTGAAACAGGTCCGATGATTGTTGATAAGTGTAGTATCAATTTGACGCGGCTATTGCATCTTCATTTTTAATAGGAATTCCCAAGTAAAGTACCTAATAACGCACATGGTCTGTAGGCACGTCCGAAATAAGTACTATACTCGTGTTACGCCAATCATCGCGTATCCCATGATCATAGGGTTGCTTTTTCATATTTCATTCATGTTATTCATCATCGCTACATACAGGTATACCTATTTATAAGAATATTAAATAAATGTGGGTTTGTTTGATATGTTATATTTACTATTTGAATTTCGTTATGACTTCAATTTTTACAAATTAAGTAGATACCTATATAAAAAAACTTAACGAAACGTGTACGAAATAAAAATCAAAGCATGACGTAATCTTTCTTGTTTATATATCCCCAAATTTAAGATATTATTAAATAAGTAGCTAGTTTATAGAAACTCATTTTAATGGGTATTAATTTTATTATCTAAATGTTAATGTAATGTTATGTATTTACCCATGTACTATGTACTACATGTATGTACGTCAGCGGAAAATTGTCTAGGGAAAAATATCCTATATTTTTCTCTAGGGATTAGCCTAGTATAACCTGGCTAAGTCTAATTATAAGGATATAGCCTACACTTCCCGTGTTTACGTTAGTTTATAGGGGAAAACACACCATGCAAAGTTCGTAGAAGTAAACAACTTTTCATACAAGTACAGACTAGAAAAATATGGGATCAGCGTAATCCTGTATTTTCTTAGTCCTAATAGCGGCAGCCACTTATTAATCAGGAAAAGGGAAAGCGCGTTGGCACACGCTATGTTGTGTACGCAATGTTGTCAAAATTATCCAATTCAAGATTTCTTTTTTTTATTTCTGTTAATAAGGATTAACAGAAATAGGCAGCGGTGGTGGCGCGTGGTATTTTATTTAGCGACAAGAATTTTCTCGGATTCCACACTGTATATTTTTAGTAGGTTAAATATTTTCTTTTCATAAGTGCTGGTTGAATTGAATCTTTTAAAACTAGTACTGTGATGTTTTCGCTGACTTTTTGGCCTCCTTCGTGTTTGGGATTCTCTTATCTATAATGACGTATTAAATTTTAGATTATTTTGCAATTTATTAATCACAGTATTAGTAATAACATTATTAACAATGGCACTATCCTTGGTACCGATTAATGAGTGAATTCCTGACATTGTTTGTTGACTTAATTTACTGAATATTTTGTTATGACTGTTTCGATAATTTTAAATATGAGTAAATATCACATATTCATCATTAACATACAGAACATTATTAATTTATATTTAGCTCTTACTTAACTCGTACTCCTACATGACTATTTATAATACATTTCTAAGTGCTATCTTAAAAACATACAAGTTACAAGTCATATAGTCTTAGAATAATCGACAAGTTTTCCTCGAAAACGGTAATTATTTATTAATATAAAAAAAGGTTAATTTTATTTGAGTACCATTTGTTAAAGTGCAACTTACTTAGATTTATATAGAGATTAAATACAAAGTTTTAAATACAAACTAAAGCATGTACCTATAACTTAGATATTTTAAAAAATTATGTAATTTTCTCACAGATTTTCGCTCCCTATTTTAATCACTTGTAGGAATCTTGTGGATTAAAAAATGCTTACCTAATACTTAAATTAAAGGATAAAACAGAACATACACAGAGGGGCAGTCACTCTCCTTTCCTAGTGATGAGACTTACATTATCGAATTTAAAAACGGCGAATTGCATGTTTATGATGTAGATGAAAGATTTAGGTTTAGGTTAGTTTAAGACAAATTATGAAAGTCATGTGTAATAACAGTTTGTAAAGTGAGAAAATTCTGTGAAATGGAGGAATATTTTTTTATAAAGAAAAGTATGTACCTATTTGATCTTTAAAAATACTAGAGCAATCATGTGTCTTTTTGTTACACTATTACGGTCTTTTACATTTCATTGAGTAATTAATTGAAACTATTTTTAAATAATGTTATTTATTATTATTAGTTATTTTTATAGTCTGTAACCATATGGAATAGAAATAAGTACTCGAATTTGGTAAGGGTATGTGTCTATATAGATTTATAATTAATTGTATAATACAGAACACTTCTATTTCCAGTCGTCTGTCGGTTAGAATATCGTAATAGAATAGTATCTACATATGTTTATATTAAGTTCACTGTTTATCATTACACAAAAAGTGTGTTTCTCTGTGGTTTTAGCTTTATAAATAGTTCTTCACAATATATTCGATTGATGTTTTTACGATGACGATGACGATGTGTAAACTCAAAATATATTTCTTATTGCAAAATAATTTTATATTACCTATTGATTTGTTTCATATATCTCATATAGAATTGAATAACGTATTAAATGCAAATCGTAGCAGCATATAAAAGGAAACTAAGGGACAGTATATCTATAATATAATAAATAATAATAAAAACCCAATAGGGTTTTCTATATTATTATTGCAAATGTAGGTGGGTACATTCAGCATCATTAGTGAGTAGGTATATATAATACCTAGATGAGTGTGGGTGGCCCTAATAGCTAGGTATGATGTAAGTAGTTTCAAATAACAATTGATCACAACATATTGCAATTGTTAAACAAGTTCTCTGCATACAGGAAACATGGATATCTAAGTCCTGACACTGTACGTTTATTAACACTGTACTTAAATTTACTAAATATTATAAAATAAAACTGTTTCCTTACAATAATTATTATCGTTTCCTTATTGTTGTTTATGCAAATATACATATTTTCAAAATGTTGACTACAAATATTAATTTTTACCGTTAATTAAGTATATAGTTCATGACTGTACATTTTGTGATTTATGCAAAGATGCAGATCTATTATTATAATGTTTATTAAGCAGCACTGTCAATAAGCGTGAGTTATATCTAGATAAATAGGCATAACAAGAATAATGCTTTGATCAAAATGATTCAATATGGCGAAAAATGTATACATTCCATTAGATATGCAGATTTCTAAGTATCTAATAATATACTGGGAACAAACAGATTATACATATTACACAAGAACCCTACATTTTTTATCACTAATATATCAAGGGATTTCCTTCATATATTAATGATAAAAAATATTTTTATGTAATTGGAATGGTAAAATGTTTACCATTACCTTAACTGCCCGTCTAATGGTAAGTGTTATCACTTACCATTAGACGGGCAGTTAAGGTATAGCCATTGTAAATATATGAACAGCACTACACCCACCCGCGATAGAACTCCAGAGGACTAAGACGCCATGCTTCTTATCTTGTAATTTCACTGCCTAATACGCGACAACCCAAAACACAGCTTTCAAAGTAAGCTGAAATAGGTGAGACTGTGAAGTACGCAGACAATTTTTCATAGGCTGCCTCTGTGGGTAAAGACAATAAAGTATCTAATTGACAAGTTATATGGAATTCTGAAATCTATTGCATTTGTGGTACTGGTTCTATCTACAGACAAATGAGTCAGCCGGCATCAAATAGGTACCGTTAGCTTAGCTTACTCAATATCGTTTTATGCGTTAGGCTATTAGGTTTATCGACGTCATTATGTCAGTGCAGTGTCTCATATGTTTACCTGACAAATAGTACCTACTCATTTGAAACTAGAGGATAATAACGGCTATTTGCAGCGAGTAGTAATTACAACCCCACTAACAGTTCACTATAGTTTTCTTCTACAATAACTTTTTCTATTATTTATTATCCCTAGAGATTGAATTTTTTTTTAAGTTTTAAGTCTTCAGTATTATAAATGTAAATATAAATATTGCATTTACGTAAAGTAAGTTAAGTTAAGTATTAAAATAAACTAGAATTTTCGTACGTCAAAAATGTATATTATATGTTTGCCCTTTAGAGAACGGTAAATGAATTTCCTATACTTTTAAATAATAAATGTATCTATTTTAGTCATTTTCATCCTCATACAGTTGTACGAGATTTGGCACTACGAAAATCAGTCAAACAACTATGATTACTATGATTAGGTTAGGAGAGCCAAATTCAGGTAATGAACGTATGATTACATATTTTACACAATTTTAATTTTATTTTATGTAGTTAAGTGTTTTAAGTTTAGCAACTGCTCGAGTATTTCCCCAACCTGACTACACAGGATTGTCCTATCGACGACACGATTTGATGATGTTGTGAGCCGTGCATTCGGTCACGATTCACTCGTTTAATTTATGACGGCAATTCATATTGTAATACCTGGTTACACACTCGTAAATTCTGAAACAATAATTTCAAAACATGCAATGTTATGTTAATGAATCATTCATAGGATAGAAAAAGTCCCCTCATTTGTTGACAACACCAGATAACTAGTAAGTAATCTGGTGTTGTCAACAAACGTTTAAAATTAAACAAGTATTTATAAACTTACCTATTCAGATATATTTTGACAAGCAATGTGCATAGTTGCGGTTATTTAAATTATCTACTGACCTGGAAAGAAATGAGAATTGATAGCGCTAATATCTAACTAGCCTATCAGTAGTAGAAACAAAGATTAACTTAATATAAGTGTTTTTGAATATATCAATCAGCCAAAATACTCTTAATAGTATAACTTACCACTCATTGGGTATTTACTTATAATATACGGTTTCTTATGAATTTTTGGGTGTTGTCCATAACACAACATAAGATTTTTCAGTAAGCTACTGTAACCACATAGGTAGATTGATACAACATTTACTCTATATATTATATATAATAATAAAGCTATTAATTAAATTTATTAAAATAAAATACTTATTATACACTTCAAAATTATATCTATCAAAATAATAAAACTTATATCTTTCTTAAATATTTTATTACAAATATGAAAATACGTCACCTTACTTTTATACAACAAAATTTCTCCAAAATCTAAGATGCTACTGACTGCTTCGAGTGAAATTTTGCATTCCATGACCAACACCAGTTGTACAACTTTACATTGCAACAGTATCTAAACCCATTGTGACTTTTATAAATATCATACCATTTATAGTACAAATATGCCTATAAATTAAGATTAGTGACATCAAGAGTGCCATAATGTACACTCTATTGTTTATGGAGCTAATTTTGGCAATAAATAGTTGCCATTCTGCATCAGGCGGGCCTTCAACTATTTACAAAGTAAAACCGTAATTTATATAATTTTAAACTTTACAATTCCTTACTTACTAGTTTTTCGTAAACTTGTATATGCTTTTGAATAATACTGGATACTGTATGTACCCTACTGTAGTTACGTACCATATTTAAAAAGTTACGGCTAACACAGTTCTTATTTACACATAATATTCCTTTTGATTTCAGTTTTCCAGTTTTCAAATATGTATTGCTCCTATTTATCTAGGTAGATAATAGGTATAGATGAAATAATAAAAAGCAATAAATCAATTCCATTGTCTGTCATCATTTTATCGTTATTAGTTTTTTAGAACGACTTTCGTTATACATCAAAATAACATTAATATTGTTATTGTATACAATCATATACAATTAATCTAGTTACTTATTGTGGTGGGGATTATTATTATATCCAATTATATGTATAAGATAAAAGATATAATAATAAATATAATACCATTATCAACATGTATAAGGCCCCACAATCTGGTCAATACAATATTTAGTATAAAATAATAGAAACATATAGAATATATTACATTACTATGACGCATAAAAAATAATATGATTATATTAACTAATAGTAGTTAATATGTATCTATATTTATTTATTTCATGTATGTATTTCTTTACATAATTGCAAAGGCAATAGTCATTTCATCTATGTATTTGTATATCTATGTATATCTATAATCTACGGCCCTTCATGTTCAAATACTTGTTTTGACATTTGAAATATTCAAGTATTTTCTTTTTTAATTATTAAAAGCATATATACAAAATGAAACAAAAATATTTCGTCAAGTTCTATTGGCAAATATAATAAATTTAAGTCTTATTCTACGACGTAGATACGAAAATCTTAAAATAATTTAATCTGATTTACCTTGTTTTTATGTAAACTGGGATGGTTAATCTTATTTTATAATCACTGATGCACTGGACATAAATCAATAGTGAGCTAAATAGCCATATGGCACAATTTAGTCGCCATCTATGCGATCAATTCTAATAATTCGACTTGAAATATATTTTATATTCGCCTGTTGTATAAATATTATATAATAAAATATTAATGGTAACTCAAAATAATACAATCATTTATACTAAAAAGATTCTCACAATACACTCAAAAGTTTAAAAGGTAATCGGTGAATATGTTCTAAATACCTAACAATATATTTTATAAGTATATTGTACAATTATAGGAATACTTAATGATTATTAAAATATGTATATAAGAAATAAGTACTTAAAATTTTAGTAACATTGGTAACAAAATCAAATAATATTTCTAAAATTAATAGAAGATACTTAAAGTAGTGTTGCCCTATGGCATATTAGTTTTTTTATTTTGTTGTCAGTTGTATCTCAAATCAATTCGATTTTAACTAATCAATTTTTTGGAAACAAATAATTTTTATATGAAGCGATCTATTCATTTTCGCCGTATAATAAAAACATAAAATATTCGTTTAGCAAGTTAGCACTAAACATAAATACATAAGTAAATTGCGGATTTTAAATTATTGTGATGCGGTGAGTATAAAAATATCTCAATTCAACAGGTATGATGATAATGAAATAATTATATACATAAAAATTGTGTAAATAAGTATTCACTTAAATTAATTTGTATTTTTAGAAATAAAAGGCAGTTTGTATTAAGAATGAGAAATAATTGTAAAGCATGAGACTTTGGCTAGTTGTTCAGTGTAGAGTAGAGTTGGCCAGTCTCGCCGATCGGCGTAATATATGTGGCTGTAATGATGGGAATCCGTTTTCTGGTATACGCACTACGCGCACATTAATCTGAAATTACATAACATTACAATAATATTAATCAAAAATTGTTACAAATAAAACCTCTGTATGTTTTTGCTCATACATATCTATATATATTTATATCTCGATAATGTAATACAAGTTGTAACCCGCGACTGCGTCTGCTTTTTTCGCAGATTAAAGTTAGTCTATGGCATTCCTCATAATTCAGTTTATCTTTTATTTACCCATTTAGTCATGAACGGTAACAGACAAACGTATTTATAATATTATTATGGATTAAAGAACTTCAAAATCTTAACATATACGTAATTTAGACATGTTGCAACGTTTATATTTACCTGTACCGATTAATATTATTTACTAATTTTGATGACCCTTTTTGTATTACATTAATATTTAATATAAATACTTATTAGGAACGGAAGCTGTTACTATGTTTACTTGATAAAGCACAATGTACTAGTTGGCTATCGGCTCGAGTTATTTATCTTATTGTAGAGACAGGTGTCGGGTCACAGACAATATATAATACATTATAAACTAGTAACCCGCCCTGACTTCGCATAAGGAAAATATTATATTATACCCTTAAATCTTACTCGGCAATCACTCTGTTGGTTCTTGGTAATCCGTTGATTAGTGTTTGAAATTTCAAACACTAATCAACGATTCATTATTTCCTTCCTTTAGATGAGAGGTAGCCTATTTCAAAAATCTTTAAGGTCCGTTTAGCCGTTTAGTCATGAAAACGGATCAAACAGATAAACTGACGAGCCTAATATTAGTATGATTACCTCGTTCTTGTTCACAGATCTTCGGAAGTACTTGTGGAAGCGAGTGGATAGCGCCCACACGGAACCATGGTCCCTTTCCGCCCACCGGACTTCCGCACAAAATTGCAGCTTCTCAGGATCCATTGCCAACAATCTGTTCAACATCACATACATATATATGTATGAATGTACAATCAGTTCTCCTTAATTTAGAAAGATAGGTTATTTCAGATACATTATTTCACAAACAGTACAATTATATTTGCTTTAGAATAACAAATAAAAGATAATCTACAACACCTTGAAGATATTACTGACGTACAGTTGCAAGAAACGTATACGGTGAAACTATAATATGATGTTCGCAGGTTGGATCCCCACACGATACAAACATTTTTAATTGAACAGAAGTATCTATGTAATAAATAATGTATTTATGTAATTCTATTTGCTGTTTATTACTCGTAGTATAAACACTATATAATTTAGATCTAAGTTGAATAATATACCCAGATTTATTTGCTTGAATAAAAAAGTCTTATTTACAATAATACATAATTATTATTCGCCATCTAGTAAAACTAAATAGAACTTTTGGTATTAGTACCTACTAGGCAAGTAATATAAATACTTAAATACATTACAGATTTTTTATAATATATACAGCGACCCGCCCCGGTTTTGCACGGGTGCAATGCTACTACTATACACGGGTATAATAAAATGTAAATGTAGTATCAGCATTGCATCTGTATAGGTAGGTTTACTACAGAATGTCCTTAATAACAACGTTTACAGTTTTTATATTTTAACGTTTAGAGCTTAAACAACTTACTTATGAGAATTGGTGAGTGGATTCCATGCGGCAATAGCGGTTTCAGTGATGGGACTGAAAATGATCGTGTCATCTCTCGGGTCAACTGCAAGACCGAGACCTTGCGATGACTTGCGACCCACTAGGTTGACTGGCAACTCTGTACCTTCTGCTGGAGGTCCAGCGGCTAGCACCGCTGTAGAAACGCTAAACAATCTGAAATGAAATTAGGTTGTTGATTATTATACTTTAAATTTATAACGACCAAATATAACAAAAACTACATATAAATTGTATCAATTGTATAAAATAATATCTACATATACTTAAATAACAAAATATCTATTTTACTGATTGGCAAATACACCATCATTATGAACAACAATATTGTCTATATTTTTTACTGCAATATCCAGACATTGTTATTATTTTTATATATGTAGGTAAGGTAGGTCCTTTGAAAGTATAAGGGATAAAAGTTAAATAGGTTACATAGGCTTTTATTTGTTTAGTTTGATGATTTATTTAGTTTGTACACAATAATTAATCATTAGGTAAAGCTTAACAAGCAGCCTTGACCTTGTTAAGATTTGTTATCTGTATCATAGTAACTATACGAGCCAATATTATCCATACTGGCCTTAAAAGCAGTTATTTATTGATTAATAAGCCTTAGGTGTAATTATAATTATTGCAAACAAACGGGTTATGAATATCGTGAGAAAGCGACATTATGCAAGCTCCAAGGCTGAAGATAAACTAAAAGTATTGAATTTGAAATCGGAGAAAAGTAAATCAATACCGACAGTCTTATTTGCATCATGCAAGTTTTTACAACAATACGTGTTATTTATTTTGTGCTCTAAATGCAGAAGGTACTACTTCTTCAACTATTGCTAATTAGGAAGTTATTCACAACTGCAGGAGTTGCTGTGTAAGCGGTGTTCTAATTAGAAGTGTAATAATGGTGATAGAATAACGGTATATGGTAATATAAGGTACGTTGACATAACTCCTTAGTCCTGAAGAATGGCAACGAATAATTGGTGGGTACCATACGCTTTACAATGTTACCCACATGTTATACATGAATATAGATAGTTAGTGGTTCAGGATATTAGTAGGTATAGTAGTGACACTCGTAGCATTAAAGTTACTAGTCTGTATCACCTAATAAGTATATGGTCATATCGATATCGCAATAGTTATATATAGTCTTAATATTTATCCAGGATTACCTAACACCGAAACTTCTTCATCATTTTCTTGTTATAAAATTTCCATTACTGCTGTCGCTTACTGATGCTATAATTTGATCCTAGACAAGAACCATTGCACTACGCCAATGCATCGGTGGTTCAGCTAGTAAAAATTACCTGTCTGTGGCCAGTGGTTGATAATAGAGCAGTCCTTGTGTGGGCGAGTGCCCGAGCCCCACGATACCATCCATAAGAGTGAATCGCTCGCCAGCGATGTCGTATTCTCCCAGGTCTGGATCGGGGTACATAGAAGCGTGGGTCACACGCCATGCGTTGTCACGATGCCCATCGTACACAATAATAGCTGAAACATGTTAGAATTGTTTAAATGAAGTTAGTTATTACTTAAGTTTATAAATATGATCAAAGATAACAACACCGACCAATAAAGATTTTTATATAAAACATATAGAACAGCAAATAAGTATACTGCCTATAGGTTGGAAAATGGCAGCATTGTCAATTGATATGAATGGCACTACAAAACTGTATAACCTGATATATGAAATATATACCCAATAACTATACATAATAACTGTGTCAATATATTAAAATTGTATAACATATTTTATATACACATAGGTATAAACTACTTCTTATAAAAAAAAATTCTAGGTTACACTTTTCGTCTAGAAGTCTGTCTTTTATAGCCTACAATTCTCTAAAGTACTAAATATAAACTCAAAATTTCAAAACAAACATACACATTTACTTGTATTGAATAAAAACCTTGTGTCACAGTATTTGTTAATAAATGGCCTGAAATGGAATGGTCTATATAGAAATATTAACTATATCAATAAGGACTTAGATGTTATGCAACCCTGTAATGTTGTGAATTGCAATTGCCAATTATTGCATAATCTGCAATGATTAATTATTAAGGGTTATGACTTTGTCACGGCTTAAAAGGTCATAAATTGGATTCCTTTTGAACATTGCTTTGATCTTTATATTAGAAAACAAGCTTTTTAAAGAATTATAATTGTTTAAATTTATTTAACATATTGCAATCTGATTTTCCGATCAGTAATTACACTGCAGCCAGGCTTTTGTAAAACGAAACAAGTTAACGTAATATAATCGAAATTAGTTACTTATTATTACTTATGAAAAGAATACCACGTATAACACAAGTGATCTCGATAGTGCCCATGGTAATAGTTGATTCATGTCAGAATAGAAAAAATAACGCAAATTCCATGTCATTATTTTTTAACATGCAAACTGGTTTACGCATTACGCAATGTTACAATTTCACCGAATAACCTATTCATCAATTTAATTAGCAAGTACGTCGCTGCCGGGTGTATTACAAGTAACTAGCGTCTAGGGTTACCATCAACATTTGATTGATAAATAAACATCCATCCAAATTCTGGATATTACACGACTGTATTAAAAGAAATGTCACTTAAAAGAAAATTGCACATTTATATTATAAATGAATAATAGGTAGCTATTAGTCAATAAAAGTTATTGTTTAGTGCTAGTTTAGTTGAGTGTAAAAGCAAAAATATTTTAGATACTAACTCGACTGTATGATAATCTTCAAAGTCAAGTAATATTCATTGCGGGGGGTGAATGAAAGTAATTTTAACAATGAAAATACTTGGAAAAAGAAATATGTCAGTCGTCATAATAGATGAAATTCCAGACATTTGCAATGGTAACCCTACTGACGTCACATTTTAAGAGAAAGCACATTGTCTCGAACATTAGTATGTTACACGTCAGTGATCGCCATACGCCGAAACATATGTATACGTTTTACGGAACCGTAACCACTTTTTGTCGAATTAACAAGTAATAATGCATTAAATAACATAGCAATCTTCCTATCACCATTCATGTGTTATCGGAAGTTTGTAGGTACTCTCTTATTAGTGAAAATATACTACGCACACCCACATGCTACATGGCCGTGTAATTTGAATAAGTTCTGTTTCCACAGTTGCATCAACAATTTAATACACGACCAAAAGTATCTAACCTTTTTCCGATCGTTAATAATAGTAATGCGTCGTTTTATAAAAATAAAGTAGTTTAACTATTCTACCAGCCTTTACAGTTAACGGACGAAAAGTTCCCCTGTTCCCTGGTGCGAGTTTCCCCTGCACTTCAAATCCACAGAAAAATTATGGGGTGGCTGAAGACCAACCTGCCCGAAAGATACTACTTTAATCTGAGACTTACCGTCACAACCAGTTCGAATCATAACTTTGGCTTAGGCTAGCTATATCGATTCCCATTTTAATGTGTCAGAGTCAGGTCGGAGTAAATTTTTTGCGTATGCAAATTATGGTTTCAGAATGTCTAAATGTATTTCTGCTTACAATTAGTGAAATCCGTTGCATCAAGCTTTTTACTAACTTTTACTGACGTTCTATCTTACTCGGATCGATGTAATTTATTATCTGTGTTTTAACTGTATTGATTAGCAGAGAGAGAAATTTAAATTGATATTCAAGGTTTTTGGTGTCAGCCAGATTCGATCTTACAACCTTTGTGGTTTATAAGTTAGGGAAGTAAGCTACTAGGTCATGAGTGCTACGACTCTCCTAATCTCCAATAAAAACAGACAGGCTAAGACTTTTAAAGGTCATTACACAATTCTAAAGTATTCATTTCCATTAATGACAATGTCGGTGGTTTACGGTTTAGCAAACTGCCTTACTTCCGATTGTCGAGGGTTTGATTCCTCGCACAGTGCAAACATTTTGTATTTATGAATTTGGTTCTTTGTATTAGTCAAAGTATTTTCTATGTATAGGTATTTAAAAAAAATGTATTTTAGCTTTTCTATCAGTTTTCAAGTACTCAAAACTTAAGCTCTGCTTAGCTTGGGACTACATGGCGCTGAGTTAATGTCCAGGGTTACTACTATTATTAATCAGGTACATATACAGGTAAATTTCAATTTATAATCTTATAAAAATATTGCTTTAAATTATTTTTTACAAAGTTAAGTTACAGTTTAAGTGTCACATACTTTAATGCCAACATAATATTTAATGACATACAAAGAAAGTGAGCCATCTTGCATAATATTCACCCACTTTTAGGCTTAGCTAGCAGGTGCGTCTTAATTTATCATTTGTCACGAGTTGACACACTTACTACGTACTACTCCACACGTGCTTTTCTTTACGGTGAGAACAACGAGAATCGTGAACGAATGATATATGTTGCATAATTCATAATTTAATGGAGACTTAGACCTGTGTGTTTAGGTTAGGTTTTAAGGAATTACTCAATGATTAAAGCAAATAATAATACTTATCACGATACAAGTAATTAAAAAAATGTGAAAAATATGTAAGTTCCTAAACAAAAAGCTAGTTTTTAAAAGAGCCTATGAAACCCTGTGCTTTCACAGGTAAACGCATAATCAATGGTTAAGATTATTTTTTCTTAGACAAGCGAAAGGTCCTATTTACATATATATATATTAAAATAAAATACCTGGAGCGACAGTATCGCTGATGTAAGCAAATATGTTGTCACAATTTGAATGGAGGGAAGAAGGTGTCCTTGTGTCATCTAATACAATGTTGGTAAACAGTGAAGCTGGACGCAACAGCTCCCGGGGAAAGTAGACACTTCGTACCTGAAATATTTTAATAAAAAGGTTTAAAGACATCGGTTTAATAATTAAATGTAATATAAGAATCGCAGGATAAGTAAATATAGATAAATTAGACGTATGTTTGCAAGGTGAGTGGTTTAGGATCGAACCAAATAGCGAATTATTATCCGAGTCTACAATTATAAATAGAAGGGTACAATCGTAATCAATAAAATGGCTGCACTACCCATAATATAAAATATGGAGAGTTTTATTAAACAGACATAAGGAATCTCCATATTTATAAGGACTTGAGATGAGATAATCTCTACATTTATGTCCGCTGCCACCTTTCCACTAACATGCCGCTATCATTCTATACACAAGCAAGGTACTGAAAATCATTTTCATCATCGGTCTTAACATTTACATTCATTTATTAGATTTTCCTAACAACTTTGAGGTGATATATGTATATAAACGGACGATAGACTTAAATAAAATAATATAAAAAACAAAGCTTGCAAAGGGCAAAAACGAGTTCATCCATTTTGTCCTATTTATATTAAATCTAAGCTTAAAATGTTAGTAAGTCAGTTCATGTTTTGTTTCAGTTCAGTATGCCTAAACGAGCCTTCATTTTAATCGCGTAGTAAATTCGTCTTTTTAGACTAATCCATTAACCATTTATTAAATACTATTGTACATAATTTAATATTAAGTTAAATTAGATAGATAGAGATTATACATTTCTTTGTTTTTACTATTCTAGAACAAAAAAAAAAGTTACTTCATTAGTTTCTTAAAACTTTCAATAGATTGAAATATCTGACTAATTAAAAACTGATCATAATTTATATAATTAATATCGCCTCCAGTTATCGTGAATAAGTATCTGCCGGCATGCACAATTGCTGCAACCGTGACAGACCACGCCTTTTCATCTAACAAACGGCCTCGGTTTTCAACTGTCAATGGTATATAACCACAGATTGGTCATAAATACTAGATAGTTGCCATTTCATTGGTAATAAACTATTACCTGTTTCTGGAAACGAAGTGACTGAGTATATTTAGAGTATATTTTAGTATACACATCATTAGATTTGATATTCTATAGTTTATAACTTTCTTTTTTTTATTATTGATGATGACGTCATGATGGCTAACTGACTTAACTTCAGGCTCATCTTATCTTCCTCCGCTGGTACCTACCTCGCCAGTCTAAGCAGTTAGTGCATGCACAAATTCATCATCATTTATTTGAAAAATCCAATACATCGGAAGTCAGTCAGATACGGGCATCCTAATAACTGTCTGGCTGTGTATTAACAACCTAATAATAATAATTACTCTTAGCTAGGTTTTTCGTTTCAATTAATTAAGTTATTATTACTACACAGTACCGTCTAGGTACAGATAGAATACTTTATTAGGTATTCTGAGATTACTATCTGTACCTATACAGTACTATCTAGTATTTCTGTTCTGAGTTTCTGTCGATGCTTGTCTAAGGACGTGACAGTTTTGACACCTCAAGGATAGTTAATTTAAACTTTTCAAACAAACGTTCTTATACCTTTAAGTACAGTTATAGGTACGCATGATATAACTACTGTCCTTTCTAAATAAACCATTCACAATATAAGTATAATTATAGTTCCTGTTACGGATCAATAGAATTAACTATATATATTATACTATGCGCCAGACACGTAATCGAATTATTTATATAAACTATGAACTGGATTCCACCAGGCTTTCACTTTACAAATGTCTCCTACCTAAGCCCTGTAAGCCCTATACCACATTGTGATGTAATCTAATAATATAGAACAATAACTTACTGTATGTACATATATTTATATGATGTATGTGTACATCATATATCAAGGAATTAATCAAATTAAATTAAAATACTATATATTTCACTACATTATATCATTGATGGTGATATAAAGTAACAAATATGATTTGTTGAGCTATTAGGGTGCCAAGAACAAAGCAAAATATACTTTCTATATAACCTTCATTCATAGCACTAAAAGAATTTGTGCTCAAACCATGGTAATACTGAATTGAAACCTCGATATGTCGAAGTTATTGTTATGTGTATATGTATGCAGTAGGTCGATTTAATACTAGGGAAATGCGTGTTATAACTAACTAATAACGTAAATATTTCACAATAATTAGACAAAATGAAAATTTAATTATACAATAAATTATATAAAATATTAAACAATTTTAATAGCTACTTAATAATTTCTGGGAAATGTAATGGAAATTAAACTAATTAACCAACGCGAAACCAGTTTGCGTTTCTATTATTGAACTTCCTCTAAATTAATGGAAAAGAATATTTCTAATTATGTTCTAAACTTACAAGGGTTCATTTAAGTTTACGAGGTTTATTCATCATTAGTGATTGATTTCATTAAACAATTATTGATTAAGTAAAGATTTCCATCGATTATTAACTCGACTAGACTTCACATCTATTAAGTCAAAACACATCAATTCTAAATAGAATTATTTTTCAAACACAGAACTATATAAAAAATATGAGTCGATGTGGTATACTCCTTTTTATACTTATTCTATTTAAATAATTTTGCCTTAAATTGTATGTATTATAATAAAATAGACTGTTAATTACAATCATTATAAAATTCTCTATAAAGATGACTAAGTACTTACAACAAATTATCAAGTGCATCTTATGAATGGAGCATTGTTTATAGTCATAACGGAAACAATAAAACAAATTGCCGACCATGATCGAATTAAGATCGCGTTTCGATCTTGAAATTAAATGTACCTCTAATTTCGTCACAACTGTGTAGTAATGTTGACACGCCTTCACTATTACGAGTATGACAGAGTATGATTATCTACTGAGCATACAGCGACAATATGCAAGCATTATAACTCAAACAGTATGTGTGTGTGTGTTGTGTGAATGAGTACTATTTAAGTTTAATTACACTTTAATTATAAATAAATGCAGCTTATTCACACGTCACCAAGAGACTATTCTTCATTATGGCTAATGTTTTGTTTTAATAACAAATTTAAGTGATTGGCTATTAAATTTTATATTTAAACAAGATTTGTGTACAACAATCTCTCTGTTCTCTTTCTCATGTAAATCAGCCGTCAAAAAAGTTTCTTCTAAAGTTTTGTTTCGGTTCGAAATGTGTGAAAGTTATAACGTATAGAAGCATGACATTCCTCAGGAATAACAATGTATGAGGGGTATTTACCACTCACATAACATGACGACGTGATGTCCGTGAAGGTGTATCAATACAGTACCCACATTATAAATAAGCCATCACCTCTTTAATAAAATGAATAATAATAAAAAAATATAATAATTTAATAATAATTAATAAAAAAAATTACGTAACATATAAGAAAATAACTACAGTTTTAAATTTGACCGCGTATCATTATTTATACATATAATTAGTAGAATCAAAGGATCTTATGGGAAAGTAGACGGCCATAAAAGATTTTATTTACCCGCTGCTCTTCAGTTTATCACGGCGGTTGAAACACTGCCGACATATCGGTAATTCAATAAAAATAAAACGTGGACAATGGTTCTTTCTAATTACACGTATAAATATACTGCAGGTATTATTAAACTAAATATACCTATATATGTATGTGGCACATAAGTAATGTATATACCTACTATGCAATTAGTTATTTACTTTCATTTCATAAAAAAAAACATTATATAATATTAGAACAGAATTCAAGACTATCGCACAGTGCACAACTATGTGCATACACTATTACCCTACTTGCGTTTTACATTTCCACACTTAACTTTTACTTTATTTACTGTCCGTGAATTACGCATGAACGACTCTAACATTAATCAACATCAAACTGCACTGCATATAAATAGATGCACTTTGTTGTGTGCCTATTATTGTGTACTAAACAAGTGTACGCTACTGTATAATACTGTATACATATATTTTTTGAGAACTATTCAGAACCTATTGGCCACAGCTGACCTTTGAGGTTTGCCGAACGAAAATTGGGGTAAGGACAGAGGGCACTCCAAGCCCGCGAACCGATACAACTTTTATCTTTGCTAGGGATTCGAAACTCTTCTCAGGCTGTCGTAATTTTAATCCCCATTTGAATGGGACAGGGGATTAATCAAAGAGTAGATTATCCATCTCATGGGAATTGTTATCTATACCGAGCAGCATCATAGTTCCTTTAAAATACACCAATATTATTCTTACTCCTGTTCCTAATAATTAAGAATGTTAATTCTACTGCCTGGATGAATGCCAGGTTTGTTTTATTATAATACTAAACACAGACGGGAAAAGGATTGTAAGTAATGTGGACTAATATTTCCATTTCAATTTACTATGTCAGGTTAACCTCCAAGCGGTACTTCCTGGAAACCATCGTGAATGGTGAATGAGCTATATTGGGCTAACTGACTTGACCTCATCCTCATCTTATTCTCCTCCACTGGTACCCCGCCAGCATAAACCATTAGCGCAGGCGGATGAAACATTCCATTATCATCCATAAAAAATATACTAAAATATCTCTATGATATTACAACACACACACACACAACTATTATCATTTTTTTATATCTCTGTATATAATTAATCCATCAATATATGCTAACTGCAATTAGGTACAATATACATACATACGTGTATGTTTCTGAGTTACCCGGGTTTGAAATTTAGGCCGCCCACAGTTTATTATTTCCCCACTCACTGATATAAGCTATTAAGTATTGATGAAGATTGTGAGGTTATAAACATTTGATTGAAGATATTATATAAATAGGCACCAACATAATATAGTTGCTAAACAATAAACGTACCTATAGACGGAAATATGATTGTGATCTAAACGATTCAATCAAACACGACTAAAATAGAAAACGGAATTATAACAGTTGTAGTATTGTGGCTAAAATTAATTACAAATAGATACGATAAAAAAATAATTACTTATTATTCTATCGATACGCAATACAAATTAAACGCTCACTAGCCCTTGCTTCAATTTTTTTTTTCTAAACATCCGTACTCCGTGCGGGCAAAATAAACTATGTCAAATTGATTTTGCACAGTTTAGAACAATAATTAAAGCAAGTTGTTTCTTTATTACTTTGAGAATTATAACCACAATACAATTCCAATTCCCATAGATAAATAACTATGGGAATCATAGCTACTTATTCTCTTAATAAAAAGAGTACTTTTCCACAACACAACCTTTTTATAAATGCACAATATCCAAGATAGTACCAGAATAATTTTTATTCAAGTTAGCCTGCCCTACCTGCTTTTAAATTTCGAACTTTCATTTAGCATAATAAAAATAGTTTTTTTTTCTTTTCTCTTCTTTTGGCTCCGGCGGTTTGTGTTGCCCTTAGCCATATAAAAATATTTAAAACAATATTTCTTTCTCTTTCGATGGAACCCTAAAAACGGTATCTATGTAATAAGTTTTAATATAATTAGTGGAATCTTGATTGACCAAACAAGTTATCTCATCGATCAATAATAGTAATAACGTCCACGAGTGAATGAACATATCATCAAACAGGTTAGCGAATTATTATAGAACACATAAATAACTGAAATTACTGACGCAGTACACGGTCAATAATTATACCTGTCGAAATGGACATTAACGGTAATAAACTGTTGTTGCTAATATACAAACAATTAATTATATTTACAAACTTGTTATAACTTGGTTATCTGGAAATTAATAGTAATAAATTAATCTGGATCAAATCAAATGAGGTGATACTTAAGTTTCTAACTATTACCCTTAGGGAGGGAAAGGGAATTGTTAGTAATGTGGATTAATGTTCCCATTGCTAGGAATTTACCTCGTTAGGTTGACCTCCACGCAGATCCCCCTGGAAACCATCGTCATAAATTCTTAGTGAATTTGTCACGATGGGCTAACTGATCTGACCTCATGCTCATTTTATCATCCTCCACTGGTTCACCGCCAGCGTAAACTATTAGTGCTTGCGGGTACACCATTCCATTGTCATCCACAAGAAAAACAAGTACTAACGGTACTTTCTGATATTTCAATATCGGAATATCGGAATAAGAGGTATTGAAATATGTTCAATTTCTTTTAATAATACTTTAACGAAGGCATTCAAGGCCCGTCTTGACAAAAAAAAAAGAAATTAATAATAATAATATCCAGGATAATTTACACAGCGCCATCAGAACCAACCCAAGCTAAACAGAGCATGTATTGTGGGTACTATACAACTGATAAAAAAAATACGTAAGTATTTTGTAAATAGGTACATACATTTAGAACACCCAGACCAATCTAAACAATTATACTCATGAATACAAATGTTTGTGCTGTACTAGGAATCGAACCGCAAATATCGTAAATAAGGTGGTATGCCAAATCGCTAAACCACCGAGGCCGTCAAATATTAATATATTTTTTTAAAATAATATCTCACCAAACGGTCTGTAGCCATATCGAAGATGAGAATCTTGGGCGGACAGACTCTTCGGAAGTCATCAATGCTGGTGATCACACCAGCATCTAGTACCCAGAGGCGGTTGCATCGATCGGCTCGTATGCGGTACACAGACACCAGTCCGGTACAATTGATGTCACCTCGGCCCGCACTGTGCCATGACCAATCCGGATACGCCTGTCAACAAAAAATTTATATCTAAAGAGATCTAAATTAATTTAAATTTTATTTCAATATCCATAAAGTTATATTACTCTGTAAAATACAATTTACAGACATTTACAGACATTGCAAAAACCCAACAGTTTAAAGATAATACATCATTGGAAACTTTTTAATGGCAGGTTGCGTTCTATTCTTTTAGGACAGTCTTTCTTAGTGTTGATGAATTTATTAGCACAAAAAAAATTTTTTTTTATTTATTATATAAATACTAAATAAAAATAAATGGAAATGCAAACAAGGAATCTGATGGTAAATGGTAACTGTGGCGAACAGCACTAAGGATATCACGTTATCACGTGACGCCCGTGGTAACACTCATGCGTTGCCATTTTTGAATACTAGATGATGTCATGCTTCTGTCAATTTTTCTGAAATAGCGGACGACTTTTACGGTCTACCTCGACATACTAATATCACAGATATCATTTTAATAAAACTGTATAAAGTGATGCGGATTGTTATATTCTTATATTAAAATAAAAAATAATTCAATAATCTTAAAATCTTCTCTAAGTGATTTGTATATTTTAATGGATTCCTGGATGTTGAAATCATAATTGGTTACTGGATTTATGGGACTGCTTTCCCAGACAGGACAACATTTATAATAGTTATTTTTATATAAATTATATCCAAACCTGGTACCAAGATATATATTTTATTATAAACACAAATTGCACATCTTTATATATTTACTTTTGTATGAATTTTTACTGTCTTTTTTATATATTATAGTCTGATAATACCTATCACTTTATCTATTCTTGTACTGTGCATAATCATATAATAAATAGCATAGCATTTTTTAACCGTTTTTTGACTCATCTTCCACAAGTCCTCCATCGCCCTCACACCTAATTTGTGGAGTGTTTCACGGGCAGCGTTAGGGGAAATATCTAGTAATTTATATACTCGAATATCCATCTAATCCATAAAATATTAAACCATAATTTCCATAATGAAACGTGACCGCAAATAGGAAATAAGTTAACCTAAGGCTGTATTTCAATGGCGTTGCATTTTTCCAACCATAGCATACTAATAGGCTTTGGAACAAAGAATTATATTTTCGTATTAGGTTAATGATCGCATAAAACAATACAGTGACATTGGTATTAAACGCTGTTTGTAAACTAATACTTTTTCTTTATGATGACGGAATGACAATCAGTTTCTATCAATTGTTATTATATTTTTACCATTTGCTGGATTTTTACCAGACGATTACATTCGCATTACAAATATACATATTATATTGTATATATTTTTATGATACAAACATTTTTTAACCAAACAGAAAGATAACTTACCAAAGTTTCATCAAAATTGGATTAATTGTTTTGGAACGTATAATTTTATTTATGAGTGATAGGGTTTCATAGTACAGTTAGGCTTTACTTCTATTATTGATTTTACTTTAATTATTCATCCATTGATCCATCTGTAAAATATTGTTATACACGTGTCAACGAAGAAAATTACGTGCAATGCTACTTGGATATACATGTATATGTATATGTGTAGAACAATCTTTATTAAATAGAATAATGAATTCATTTTTACTCGGTACCACAGACCATATAAGAATATTTTTAGTTTAATTCGACGGTATACTCCGATTCACGGTCTACACTCTATACTCACTGTACGCAGACATGAGAAATCGTGAAGGGCAGTAAATTGCTTCGCGGACATGCACTCGATGCCAATTAGAACTTGGAATTTGCGACTGTGTCCTTATTTGCACACACTACCACAATCGGATAAACTGTTAATACAATAGTATAAATATATTAATATATTTATTTATGTAACGGATCCTCTGTTCGTAACATAATTTATTTGAAAACTAAGGGATTTAAAGTCCTAATAATTACAATCAATAATTAGAGTACCTACTGAAAATAAATATATGAAACGTATGTAAAGTTTCTGGTATTCGTATAGCTATCTGTTACAATTTCGATTGTGAAAGTAGAATGTAGGGTATATATTATTTGAATGGAGCAGACTTTTTACAAAGTTGCCTGCGCGGGGTACTTAAAGTAAGTGTAACTATAAAGAGCGAAATTGTAGGATATACGGAGGCATAACAACTTAGGTCTCAGAAATAGCAACCTTGAGGGTTGTACTGCCGATCTGACATTCTCACCAATACCTGATTTAAGACGGAATTAAAAAATCCTGTTTGTTATACTAAAAATAAGTAACGCAAAATGAATGCGGTTGCAGATAGAAACAGAATATTGTAGCGTATCTCAAAAAAACTTATATAAGTTATATTATACATAGGTAACTTTCTTTTTGCAGATCAATTAACCGTTTCGTATTCGTTCACTTGACACCTAAAATTTGATTAGGTATATTAGCGAGCTTTTTATTCCATGATTATTTCTATTGGGTAAATATTTTTTTTGTTTACATATAGAATAAGTGATAGAGAAAAATCAATGATCAATCAATTTTATATTAATATAGAACTAGTAGCAATAATTATTTATTATTCTAAAAAAATATACTCGTACTTTAACCATGCACATAGAAGTCACCTGGCGTCTATAAACAGTTTTAAGGCATGGTTTTAGATGTATTAGTTCATGTTGTTAGCATTCAGTATAGATAGTTGACACGTGCCTTGCCTATAAGTGAGACATGTTCAGGTAAACGTTCTAGAAGTGCTTGGATACCTGTTAATACCCAAACTGAGCGCTAGGCCTCTACCAACCTGTCCAAAAATAAATTATATTTTACAAAATAGCATTTGATAATAATTATTAAGAAATATAACCGAATATAAGTTAGTGACGGAAACTTACTTTGTGTGTTGTTATAATTCTTTAAATAATATGTAACAAACATACAGCTTGCAAGTTTGATAAATACTATATTGTAATATATTTTCCCCACCCATAAAACGGTATCTTTGCAAAAATACAAGAAAATCATTACATAGTACTGAAATAATAATAAAAAAATCAAATAAATTCTTATTTCATGCTCATGTAAACTTGCCCTAATAGTACCTGAATTAAATTAACAAACATTGATAGCATAACAATTGGTGTAATGGACTTCCGCAAAACAATAATTAAAACATTCTTAGCCTATACAGAAAATAGTAGAAATATATTTGACATTGGAAAATATCAAGAACCGTGGAATTGGCATGTGTAATAATCAATACAGAGGACGGCTACCACTTACCACCACCGTATTTGCTGTTTCCTATATTACCTACTATTTATTAAAGTCATATAGTTGTAAATCACTAGATATGTAATTGACGAGCTAATTGCATAAGTACTGATTATGTATAGGATATGACTATGCCACTCAGAAGCATCTATTTAATTTATGATTTTAATTTGTACATTAAAAAAACTGCTTACGTTATACTTCAATTATATTACAAGGATCAAAACAGTTCATAGAATTTTGTCTGATTTCTTATCATTTGTGCAAGGTAATCTCGGGAACAAGTGTTGTAGCAAGTTTGTCGCAACATTTACTGTTTTATATTATTCACAACAAAAAAGTCTTAAGGGGGTCTTCCTGACGGCCTGTTTTTTAGGGATATTTTAGGATTTTTTTTCTACGACCAGTAAATATTTAGAGCTTCAAGTTTTTTATCATTTATTAACACATATTTGGACAGTATAAATATAAAATTTCAGCTAAAAATATTCAGTCAAACTAGAGTTACAGCGCTCTGAACACCCCCGCCACCAAAAAAAGAGCCCCCACTTCCTCCACGATTCCGGCTGATCGGCTTATCTTAAAAAAAAAAAAAAAAACGGCGTTTTAATTTGTAGGCTTAAAAGCACGGAATGACCTATAATCAAATGAATATAAAAAAAATTGGATTTTTGATAGACATTTGAAATAAAAGTTGCAAATTAGGCGTTTTTTTTTTTGTTTTTTGCTATAAAAAAATCGAAGTTTTGAAAATTTTCGATTGATAATAGTTCATTCCATGCGTTTACATATATTGAGTGTGCCCTGTAAATTTCAAGTAATTCGGTCCAGCCGTTTCTGAGATACAATGGAGGAAAGTTTGAAAAACACAGTTTTGAGAAAAACGCGTTTAAAGTTTCAAGTCCGTTAAAAACTATTAAAATATCAACTTACTCTCAATCGGCGATGCCTGGTCCATAAGTATTCCTTCCTCTTCCTCGTGAAACTCTTTTAAAGCAGATTGTTCAGCTCTTGAGTCAATCCTGGCTTGTTTAACGACACATACGCGCCGCTCAGAGCGTAAGATTCGCTTTTCATCCCGTTTCTCAACATACGCTTGGGCTTCACGACCAACAGGGCATCCCATAATCGACATAACTTTTAAAATACCTTGAAAACCTTCATTAAAGATAATAACTGCTAAGTAGCTAGCAATTTCAACAACTTTGGGACCAGAATGAAGATGTTTAGGAGCGAAAGTCCAAATTTCAAAGATTCGTTATTGTTTTGTGTCTCTGCTCCTAAACAACGAATTAATAATTCGTCTTTCGATAAATCTTCTAAAACCGGTTTGATAGCTTCTTGGACTTGCGGAATTAGAGGTGGTTTATGGTGATGAAATTGGTCCAGTTCATTATTAGCTTCAGCCTTACGCCATTTTTGGTGGGTAAAACGGTTTCCACAAAACTTTCTTTTTTTACTACGACCAGGATGAACATTTCCACTCGTACTTCCTTTCCGTCCACTCATTATGAAAAAAAATAATTTGTAGCTGTTGCTCTCTTCGAAGTTCAACCAAAACTAAAATAACTTCGGTAAAATATTATAACAATAGAAATTTCTGTTTAAGTCTGTAGAAACGTGTCTAAACTTGTATAAACAAATATATTAATAAAAGGGAGGCCAGGTATAAAGCCGACGGTACACAATAGGCCCGGTCTCTAACTGCCAACTCACCGCTCCGAACCGCTCTTTCTTTTACCTGCTGTATCTTTAAAACGACTTCGAATTTTCTAAAATCGCTTTACTACCGTATTCTAGACATGTTAAGGGAGCAATTTATGAAAAAAAAAAAAAATCGATTTTTTCAACCCATCACATAGGAAGACCCCTTAACTATTGTTATTCTGCATATCACTCATACAAATTTGCGTACACAGTTTGTGCTGTGTCCGTATCAACTACCAATCTGCTTAGATGGTCATCATTTTTTTACCATAATAGTTACTACTTAGTAATCTTCGAACATCACGTCAGCCGACTCCGTCAGCCGTGACAATATGCCTATTTGAAATTCATTTTACGGTCTTCAATATAATAATAGAAGATAATAGAATACAAGTTGTCGAAATAAATGGTGTAAAGTCTGAGGGAACTAGTATTAAAATAGGTGTTCCTCAGGGCTCTATTTTAGGTCCTTTCTTATTTTTAGTTTACATAAATGATCTTCCTTATATGGTAGAAAAGATAGCTGACATAGTTCTGTTTGCTGATGATACTTCATTAGTATTCAAAGTCAATCGACATATTGATGATTTGGACGAAGTAAACGGTGCTCTTTCTTATGTTTTAAAATGGTTTACGGCTAATAATATGTTACTAAATGCAAATAAAACTAAATGTATCAAATTTACTCTCCCCAATGTAAGGCCGATAGCCAACGTAATTCAAAAATCACGTTGGACAATAAACCTATTAATTTTGTGGATGATACTGTATTTCTAGGTATCACATTAGATTAGTTGCAATGGGGCGCTCATATTACTAAATTAGCGAGTCGACTTAGTTCTGCCGCTTATAAGAAGAATTAGACAATTAACAGACGTGGCAACGGCTAAACTTGTGTACTTTAGCTATTTCCATAGCATTATGTCGTATGGTATTTTGTTATGGGGCAAAGCAGCTGATATAAATACAATATTTATTTTACAAAAGAGGGCCATTCGCTCCATTTATAGCATGGGTTCCAGGGAGTCTTTGCGAGAGTGCTTTAAGGAATCAAATATCCTCACCGTTGCTTCTCAATATATTTATGAAAATATCATGTATGCCAGGAAGAATATAGACAGTTTCAAAAGAGTTAGTGATTGCACTAATAAAAGCTTACGTAACAATAACAAACTGATTTTACCTAAATGTCGTTTGGCTATAGTTAGTAATTCGTTTTATGGCAATTGCGTAAGGTTTTACAATAAAATACCAGAGTCTGTTATAAATCTGCCAGAAAAAAGATTTAAATGTCAAATAAAACACTTCCTTTGCAAAAAAGCTTACTATAAAATTGAAGAATTCGTTAACGATAATAATGCTTTTGTAGAAAAATTTTAAATACATAGCACTGACAATATTATCTGATTACACTAATAATGAGTGCGTAGCGATTTCTATGTTGATTGTCGCATGCCTCTTACTTGTTACACTGTAATTATTTATATAAAAAAAAAACATCTATTAAAAAGAGCAACACACAAGTTTCTTGCTCATTCTTCTTGTGATGAATCTGCATTCCGAATGAGTGGTAGAATCAAAATATGACTATTCAAAAGTGCTTGTAATGAGTTTATTTGAATAAAGATTATTTCTATTTCTATTTCTATTTCAATTCAGGGTAATAACAATCTAAAACTAGATAACTGTTACTCTTTTTATTTTGCCACTCTTGATATACATATATAATGCTTTGTTATGTCTTAAGTAAATTAAGCACCATCATTAGTCAATAAATAAATTTATAATTAAGATTCCGTGACAAGTTCTACTAATTTCTTTTGTAATTACTACTGTAAATAAAAATATTGAATAAAAACATGTAATATTGCATATATTATATGTTTTTATTAAATATTCATTTCAATATAAGGAAGTTTTTCACTTTATATATAATAGTAATATTATAAAAGATGAGAGCGCATTATTTAAAAGGAAAGTAAATTACGGAAAACATACATTATTTCAGGGATGCTTATTAGTCTGTTATGTTAATACACGGCGGGACATTAGGTAGACATACTAGGTACTCTGTACTTACTGTCAATTTGGACAAAAAATTTCTGTTGGAAACTTCAACAAAAATAAGCGTTAAAACCTCTTTGATAATTTACTCATAATATTCAAATATAGAACGCTGTGTCTGATTACAATTGTCATTTGTTTTTATCTTCTTCAATATTTAGTTTCGCTAATTATATCGACATTTGAATCTTATATATAAAATGTCACAGTTTTCGTTCCCATACTCCTCCGAAACGGCTTGACCGATTCTCATGAAATTTTGTGAGCGTATTGAGTAGGTCTGAGAATCGGCCAACATCTATTTTTCATCCCCCTAAATGTTAGGGGTAGTCCACCCCTAAAAATTTTTTTATTTTTTAGACAACATTTTTAGTTTCCATTTTTTTATGATACAACATACAAAAATACATACAATCCTAAATTTTCACCCTTCTATCATCAACCCCTATTTTTTTATAGCGTTATTAATTTATATGGCAAAACAACGTTTGCCGGGACAGCTAGTAATTATATATAATTACGATTTGTTTACAATTTGGTGTTTTATAATTATTTACAACGAATACATCTACGCACCTCGTTGAGAATGATAAAATTTCTATAAAGTAGTGCTTTACCTGTAGTACGGGACTCACGCCAGGAGGCAGACTGCGTGGTACCCAAGCCATTGTAGCTGGAACTCCTGCCCTCAAGCGCGGAATACCCAAGTAAATTTTCTCCCAACCTATCTCTAAACCTGTAGGAACAGTGTTTTCAGGTTGAAACTTTTCCAATAAGACGGGGTCTGGAGGAAAATCGAACTGTAGCAAACTCCATTGGTTCACGACCTCTAAGGTCGCTAGGGCCACAGTGAACCATGCACAAAGAAAAAGCGCATGGGTCCCCATCGTGATTACCTGTAAAAAAATATAATCATCAGATACCATTTATGAATGGAGTAGTTAAGCAAGAACCTATCAATTTTAGTTATGTAACCAAACGTATGAGAACGTTCTATATATTATATTTTCCCATGCGCTATTTGTATCTACCCATGAGAAAATATGCACACGTGAAACTATACAATCTCGTGTAAATGTAAATTAACTTATTATTCTAATAAGCATCATGTACTTTAATTGACCTCAGATACCTATATCAAATGACAATAACCAAAGATCTTACATTCTTACTCCTTCTAAATTATATTTCATAGGTATATTGTGTGTTATATATTTTATTCAAACGTAGAAAACCCTTTAACGTTATATAGAATAGTAGATACCAATTAAAAATTATCAGCTCGTGACGAAATCGTAGGTTTTTATGTTATTAAATGATCACTATAGACCTCCTATAACTAGATACACCTTATCTAACTATAATTTTTCGTGTGTAAGGGAAAGTTTCTTTATATTAACAAATAGGTATGTTTTTACATAAATGTTTTCAGTTTAACATGACATTATCAGTATTTTTGAAAAGTCATTCCCGGATTGAAATAAAATAGAGTGATTATTGGAACAATAGAAGAGTTTCTAAAAATTGTTTGATTGATACAAAAAATATGTTTAGATAAGTATATTACTTATTGATATTAAGTTTTTTATGGATATTCAGAGCAAAACTGCGATAAATAACTAGTATTATAATAAGTTTTATCAGTGTACATAATCTTTTGTAGAGTCGATGCTATCACAACAAAACCACAAGCAAGACAGTGACCTAAAGCTGTTCTCACGACCGACTTTTACTCATTATTCAAGGACACTTCCGACTAACCCGAAAATGCGGGCCAAGAGCGTGGTGAATCGACCAGTGGGTACCATAAATTTGCCACCTTTTTTCAAGATTCAGTTTTTGAGATTTATATTATTAACCGTCATAACATCATAGAGATATAAGGGAAAATTACAAATGGACACATGTTTATGCGAATGGTGTTATTTTATATTTATAATATAAAGCATTATAAATTATTTAACATTATATTGGTATTTTGTTAAAAAGAAAATAGTCATAAATCAATTTGCAAAGTTAGCTTCTATATATATTCTTTGTTTTTGTCACATCTTCAATTGCCAGTACTTATATCATACCTATATCTATTATGTATTAAATGAATATATTTATCAAAATTATATTAACATATTCGGTTTTTTTACACGATTGTGTTTTTGTATATATAAATAGCATAATAACTAAACTGCAAGATATTGGCAGACAGGCAGGTTGAGAGGTTCTCACATACGAGTATATGTACTTACCTAGTTAAACAGATGCTCGAAGGTCTAAGTATTTAAGGGTACGTACCTAATACAGACAGCAAAAAAATACATTTCTTATTCAATATCAATAAAACATATGTGATGTAATTGATATTATATGTTTAATATAATATAACACAGGTATCTATGAATTAGGTATATGTATGTATATGCATGTTCATTAGTAATAAAACTTGTAGCGTAAGTCTATCAGTACGTAATAGTACCGGCTAATTAAAATGAAACAATAAATAGTTCAATACAATCTTCAAGAAATAATTGAAATTTATTTTTCATTAACGGAAAAGAACTTCTAATTATCCTTTATACTGTGCTCTAATTATTGATATAATAAGCGAAATATGAAAACTAATGATTTATTTAGGATTAATATACAACAAAACAACTAATAATCTAGATTTAGCCTTTTCAGTTTCAACATAAAATAATAGCTTGTTATTGTGCCTTACAAAGCCTTTACAAAGATCACGGCGAAGACATAAGGAGCCAAGGATATCAACATCGTGGATCGCGAGTGAAAGTAAATACTATAGTCAAAGTGTAACATTAAAAAAAAAAACTAAGTATCTACTATATTTTACGTACAAAATATTATGAATCTTGTAGTAAGAAACATCATTAATAGGACATTTATAGCGATTTTAATAATATACGAATATAATACATATATATGTATACTAAAATGCTCTATGCTATGCTATTACCGCCACTGTAGTATAATAAAATGGAAATTTAACAACTATATCAACAGTTTGTTAGAGCACAGAGACATTTTAGTAAATAGATTTAGATGACTTACTCGTAAGATCGATAATACCCGATTTGAACAATATCAGACTACTGAATGAATAATATTATTCATTTCCACACCTTCCTGTGACCTGCGGGTATAAATTATTTGAAGATTGTTTCATGTGTCTTTTTATAACTACTGGGATTAATTTGTATTAAGGATAACAAGGATAAACTATCTTTCTATAGGTAACATTACTTGTCTTCGTACCAATTGAACAATAAATTCTTATAGGTACCTTCTAATATTACAATGTGAAAAATTTGAACAGATTTTAATGATATTTTCCGAGAAGATATATTGTATTACGATGAAAAGTAAACACTATATTTATATCTAAATAAAATTAGACGAAATATTCGTTAATCTATATGTTGTTTCAAATCATACTAATATTACAAACTTGAAATTTTGTGAGTAAGGACGAATGGATAGATATTTGTTACTCTTTTAAACAAAAACTACTGAATGGATTTTAATGAAACTTTACAATAATATAGTACATCAGAATAACCCATAGGCTATAAATTTCCCCCGATTGAAATCGATGGCTCAGTTAGTAGTTTATATAGCGCTTTGTCATTGTTTTATACCGTTATAGTCTTGTCTGTATTACAAGACAACTTCCTAAAGCTAAGGAGAATGCTGAATGGCCTCGTGTCGTAATACCTAGACGGACACGCCGACACGAAGCCTACTAGTAATGCGGCACAATAATTAATAGTAGGCGTAATATCTCTCATTGAAAAAAATATGACGTATTTATGTCATAGAATTCTGGATTATTATATTTTCTCAAATTATTCGTTAAACATATATTAGATATAGAAAAGAATTTTTCTGAAATTTGTCTTGAACATAAATTTTATAATAAGGACAGACATAGGCTAACTTTCATCTCATAAAATAATATATAAAATAATTTAAAAGTTTCAGATGAATAGTATTAACTATTAAAAATACTACAGTTAGTTTTTATTAATTGATCGATATGTTCAGTATATTTAAACAATAGTTTCTCTTTAAATGATTATTAATCAGAAAAAATATTTATTTTAAATCTAAGGATTAGTATAAACTCCGTATTGTATGTGTACTTATCAAAATTGTAAAGACAATAATGCAGACTATGTACAATATAAAAAGATACCTAAACAAGGAACCATATACAGTCATATAATCGGATCATTTATAATGGACAGTAAAGTTTTCAATGTTACGATTATTACGCAATTTAATACTTGAATAATAATGAATAGGTACATAGGTATGTTACTATCCGGCTGACCGAGAAATCATTTATATTAAGTAGGGATCTAATGAGGTTTCATTGTGATCTATGTATAAGAGTTTCTATCACATTTTTTTTCTACTACGTTATAGATAGATAGATAAAAAGCTTTATTTTTCCAATTATTTATTTCACAATTACTGTTCTTAAAAACTCCTGTAGGGGTTTGACTACTCCTGTGATAGATGATTTGTATATTTTTTCTGCTATAACTTTATACTTACATTCACGAAATACAACATAATGTTATTAATTCTGACAATGCGGCAGTTACACCAGTTTTACCAGTCGTAGGTGAAATATGAGAGGAGAATGGAACCGACATATTTATTACAGTCCTATATATATTTTTCATGTAATTGGAATGTCAAGCAAGGTGACGGCCCATATGATGGAACGTGGTAAACCTCACCTATATACATGAAGAGCTACTGAGATCACGTTATCATGTGACGACCGTGTTGTATCTTATGTCTTGCCATTCATAGTCATATGTCTTATCCTGTAATTTTCACGTGCTTGTATCACACTTTAGCCGCAACTCCGCTCACAAAGCAAACTGCTTCGCGTCTATATTAGTTAAGTCTGAGGCAACCATGCAGACGACTCTTCACAAACTCTACATCGGTAAAATTATTTTATTGCTATATTTATATTATCAATCAAATAGGACATGTTGCCATTTGCATGTACCATTTAAAAAAGTAACGAATAAATATTTAAAAAATCTGTCTTTCATGTTTTGATTATGCAGAGCAGTAAGAACAGAGAAATATATAAAGGGGATAAAGAAGATACTACATATACATAGATATCTATCTATTCTGTGGGTAAGCCTAAATGAAATATTAAAAACAAAAATGACAAAGTACATTAAAATAAACGACATTCTTAATCTAGGTAATACAAATAAAGTTTATATAATAAAATTTTCAACGGAAAATAACAAGATTCATTAATAGGAATAGTTATTTATGAAACCAAATGTTTATTTACTTAATATGCAATGTGCAGGTAATATTAGATAACATCGTATGGTTTATCTACTTTCTATCACAAACGACAGCTTTACCACATATATATACACTTCATTAATATTTAAATCACATTAAATAGAGACACAATGTAAATGATTCTTCTTTAACATTATCCTTATGTCCGCTTGTTCATTCATTATAGATGAATAAATAGAATAAATTTTGGCGATACCTTATTTTATTAATTAAAATTTGTTACACTCAATTGTAACAATTTTTTTTGTAGAAAAGTGTACTTTTTTATTTAGATACTTATGATTATTTTTAGTACCTACATATTTGAGACTAACAAATCAGAATCAAATTCTGTCTCTCTCCCTCTCTCTGTCTATATGTACAGTAGTTTCCAAAGTATAAATTGAGAATGGTCATAAGAGTACCTACTATCATGCATGTACGCAAGGTTAATCAGCATTGACGTTTTTCTTACTACGAAAATATTAGTAACAATTTGTACTGTTAACTTGTGAATAACAAATTAACGTGGTTTAATATTAATTTTTAATAT